ACCGCGGGCGTCACGGGGGCGATGGCTGTGCATCAGAAAGTGTGTGCCGCCCTCCCGGGAAGGGGGGGCTGTGCGTGTGTTTACTGTTTGTCTTTGCTGCTTTGCAGACTTTGCACCAGTGAATGCACCTCTCTGTGCTCGGGGTTCCTGGCCTCGTGGGTCGGTGTGTGTGCACTAGACTGAAGGGTGGGCCCCTGCCCAGCTGATAAGTTCTGTGCGCCTATTACTACCTTTGGAGGCCTCACCTCCATTTTTCTGGCCTCAAATTGTTCCCTCCCAGAACTGCCAGAGGTGGGGGACTTTCGGGCTAATTCTTATTCCGTTTCAGACCTCGGTCGGAGCACTTTCTAAATGCCACGCGGATAAGAGTGGTCATGGCAGGTCACCCCTCTCCTCTGCTAGGAACCGTCGGTGGCTCTCCTCGCCACGCAGAATAAAAGCCACCGTTCTTCCCGTGACCTTCGTGACTTGGGCCTTTGTTCGTTTTCTTTCCTCATTTCTTCCCTCCTTTCTCCCAGCTCTCTGTGCTCTAGCCCCGCCGGCCTCCTTGAAGTCCCCCCCCCCCACTCCTTCCCCCACAAGCAGTTGCATTTGCAAGAATGCTCTTCCTCCCAGTCTTTCTTTCCTAATAAGTTCTCTAACCACACCACTTGAAATTGCGCGGGCACACACACACACACATACCAAGAAAATTCTTTACCCACCCCTTTTTCTGTTTATTTTTCTTCAGATACTGAGTATCTTGTTTAAGATACTAAATATCTTGTTTAGAACATGTGTTTCCACAGTGCAGGATTTTTGTTTCATCATGCACTGCTGGTACCTGGAACGATGTCCAGCACACAGCAGTACTCATAAATGCTGAATGAATGAGTGGACGGATGCCTCCTTACCCCAGAAGAATAATTCATGCTTATTGATAAAAACAGACAGGCCCCGGCTGGGTAGCTCAGTTGGTTAGAGCATCGTCCCAATACTCCAAGGTTGTGGGTTCGGTTTCTGGTCAGGGCACATAACAACAACCAGCCAATGAAGGCATAAATAAGTGAAAGAATAAATCGATGTTTCTCTTTCCTTTCCTCTCTCTTAAAAAAGGAAAAGAAAAAAAAAAGGACAGACTAGGGCAGTGGTCGGCAAACTGCGGCTCGCGAGCCACATGCGGCTCTTTGGCCCCTTCAGTGTGGCTCTTCCACAAAATACCACATGCGGGTGCGCACGTACAGTGCGATTGAAACTTCGTGGCCCATGCGCAGAAGTCGGTATTTTGTGGAAGAGCCACACTCAAGGGGCCAAAGAGCTGCGTGTGGCTCACAAGCCGCAGTTTGCCCACCACTGGACTAGGGTGATAAGGGTTAAGATCAGGAGAAGGGGGTGGGAAGCTGGCTGCTTAGGCCCAGAGGAAGCCTGGGGGGGTGAGAAGATGGGGAGCTATCACAGCTGTTGAGGGTGAGTAGATTGGGGGAGGAAGTGTCTGGATGGAAGCAGTGTCTGTGGAGTCCCTTAGTTCTGTCTGCCTTGATCTCCCCTGTTACCTGCCGTTTCCTCTGGAGAAATGGAGTGGTCCTTTCTGAGTCTGCTGGACTCCAGGCTGGTAGCTCCTTTTTCCAGCAGCTCTGCCCCTGGTCTATTGTGATGGTGGCTGTTGTGATGTAGAGACCTCTGGTGTCCTAGGAACCCCTGAGGTCTGACCACCGTGGGCTGCCTAGTCCCCTGGCCAAGGTTGAAACCAGATGTGCAGTGGGCTGACCCCTGTGCCCCACCCCCAGAGTCATGCCAGCGTGGGTGGTGGGGCCTTCTCTGGGATGGATGACCTGGATCCCGTAGCCTTCTATGTCCTGTTTGAGGAATGGGACCCTCCAACAGAAAGTAGCCAAGATGATCAGGCAGGTGTGTGCCTGGGGCAGACTCCTTACAGCCATGGGTCTGGGAGTTAACTGCCTCTCACTGGGGGCCCAGGAACTGGGCAACTCACAGGGCTTTGCTAGGTGTCCCAGCTGGGGCAGTGGATTCTCCCCAACCAGGGACCCAGGATTCTCTCCCTTCGCCCCCCACTCTCTTTCTTTTATATGTAGCATTTTTATTTGTTTATTATTATTATTTCCCATTGATTTTTTTTTTTTTTAGTGAGGAAGGGGTTGGGGGGAGAGAGAGAGACATCAATGTGAGAGACATAGATTGGTTGCCCCCAAGAATGTGCCCAGACCGGAGCCTGAGGCCAGGAATCAAACCTGTAACCCAGGTACATGGCCTTGACCGGGAATCGAACCTGCAAACCTTCGGTGTGAGGGCCAACGACACTAACCATTGGGAATACCAGCCAGGGCACATTTAAATTTTTTAACAAAAAAATTTTTGTTGAACTGATTTAAAGATTTCATTTAAAAGATTTTAAAACAAGTTATAAAATTCTGTTCCAAGTATTCAGGTACAGTTTTGTGCAGTTTTAAAATTATACAGAAACTCGAATTTTACAATAACATTAGCTTTAGCAACAAATTACATTATAATGAAAATAATTACAAGGAGGGTTGGGGGGCAGACTCTTTATAAGAAGTGATGGAAGGAAACTTGACTTAGGGTGATGAACACAATACAGTGTACAGGTGATGTGTTGTAGAATTGTGCACCTGAAACCTGTATCATTTTTTTGAAACCTGTATCATTTTGTTAACCAGTGTCACCACAATACATTAAATAAAAAGTAAAGAATAACATAAAAAATAAAAGAAAATAATTACAAACATTAAATATGAAAACATTCTCTCCATAACATGGGTCTCAGTTACCTTCTCGTTCATTGTAGCTATCATTACTTTAAAAATAGAGATAAAGTATATTTGTTTGGGTTTTTCCCACACACAAAGTACATATATGTTTATAGGGCATAGTAATGTCATCCACCTGTCGTCACTGAAGAGGGCAGTAAAATAGCATTCTTTGTCATCGTGTAAAAGAAAAATGCATGGCTGCCATAAATTTGATGTTGCTTCTGAGTGGTCTGCCACCAGCTAACCAGTGAACCTGATGTGGTGCACACAGTACTCAGCCATTCTCCATCTTTTTTTTTTAAAATATATTTTATTGGGTTTTTACAGAGAGGAAGGGGAGCGATAGAGAGTTAGAACCATCGATGAGAGAGAAACATCGATCAGCTGCCTCCTGCACACTCCCCACTGGGGATGTGCCCGCAACCAAGGTACATGCCCTTGACCGGAATCGAACCTGGGACCCTTGAGTCTGCAGGCCGACGCTCTATCCACTGAGCCAAACCGGTTAGGGCAGCCATTCTCCATCTCATCACAAAGTACCGTTCTCCCAAATTGGATTGTTTTTTACCATTTAAAGATTTTATTTAAAACACAAAACTAATCACATCAGTGACATCCTACAGCACTTGTGTATACTTATGACTTGAACTGATTTGCTAACATAGCTTGCTTATAAACGATTTGTGAGTGCATTTCATGTGCACAAGCAGCTCTGTGATGTTCTCTGGAAATGAGCCTCCTCTCTCTTAATGAAACTTTGGTCACCTCAGTTTGCAGGTTTCTGGGGGAGCCCACCAGTGTGTCCAGCATGGCCTCTGAAGACATTGCCAAGTTGGCAGAGACGCTAGCCAAAACCCAGGTGGCTGGGGGACAGCTGAGTTTCAAGGGCAAGAGCCTCAAACTCAACACTGCAGAAGATGGTGAGTTCCGGGGTGGGCTGGCCCAGGGGAGGAAAGGGAGTGTGGGAACGAGTGCTCACTCTTACTGGTTGTCAGGCTCATTTAGCTACATGGTCACATTTTGTCCCTGCAGCTCTGAGAGGTATCACTGGGCCCATCTAACAGTGAGGCTCAAAGATGACTTGCCCTTGAGCACGCGCAGGCTTCCCTGCCGGTCTCTATGTTTGCGGTGGGCATTCCTGCCAGGATGGCTCAGGCTGGCAGGTGGGGAGGGCCCCTTTATCTCTTGGGGGGACGGAGGCCGTGAGCGACCACAGTTAGTGGTAGCCCCAAGGTCTAGTTGCTAACTTCTTACTTCAGATCCACTCCCACCTTCACCCCCATGATCCCAAGATGGTCTGGGAATACCTGTCACCTTCCCCAGCGCTGAGGCCCTCCCCCCTGGCACTGCATTAAAACAACAGTCTGGTCCCTCTTGGGAGGTCTGGTCGATGCAGCTGAATCTCCCCGAGGGAGGATGGCCATCCCTGTCTGTGTGCAGGCACCAGGATGGGAGAGAACTAGGAATCAGAATGCAGACCCTGTCTTTCCATCCCTGGCCAAGGCAAGCCTGGCACTGACCATCCCTGAATCCCCTGGTGTCTGGAAGTGAAGGCACCTATGTTGGTACTTTTGGCCCAACCAGGAAACTGGTCCGGAGTGTCTGTGGCAGGCTTGCCCCTCCGCCATGTCAGAGACTGTTTCAGTCTTTGCTGCTGCACACTCCTAACATGCTATAGGCTCTTAAAATTTACCCAGCTCCTCCCTGTGTTTTTGTTACTTTTGATTCTTGCGTCATCCCTGAGATACAAATGTTGCTATTTTAGAAATAGGGAAAAAGGACTTTGGAAACTTAAATAACTTGCCCAAGGTCATACAGCTGGTAAACAGGGCCAGGA